CTCGGGCGGGCGGAGTGCAGCGCGGGGACGCGGCGGAGCGGGACCAGCGGCTCGGCGGGGTCCGGCAGACAGGTGTGCGGGCGGCCCGAGCTCAGGCGGCTCCAGGCCGGGCCCGCGGTCCGGAGCCGGGAGCCGATCGGGGACCTCGCGCCCGCAGCCCAGTCTCGGCCTCGCCGGTGCTCTACTTGGCCGCGCGGTGCGGGGACCACGGCCGGGCCGGGCCACCCAAAGCCTAGTTAGTGTTGGGCCGGGCCGGGCCGGGCCGGGGTGGGTGGGGGCCCGCCCGGCCCGCCCATGGGCTCAGGATGCCGGTACGGAGGGGCCACGTCGCGCCGCAGAACACCTTCCTGGACACCATCATCCGCAAGTTTGAGGGCCAGAGTGAGTGGGGGAGGGGCCGGTGGGCATGGGGCTTTGGGGGCGGGCGAGTTCTCCCGAGTGTGGATGGGGGGGCGTGCCCGGGCCGTATGCATTCGCCAAGTGCGCGTCAAGGGGGGCCCGTGGCCTCAAGGCACTGGCCAGGGGTTCCCCGGAGCAAGGCTTGGGGCTGGGGGCTGTGGACTTGGAGCCAAGAGACCTGGTGTTGGGGTGCGGGGTGGGACACTCAGCTCAATTTGGGCTTCCGGGACTGGGGAATGTGTGTGTGACAGTCTGAGTGTGCAGGGCAGGAAGATGGGATGGGAGTGTGCAGGCATCCCTAACTCTGGGTGCTTGGATGTGGATGGGGCTGTGTGGGTATAAGGACAGGAGAATGGATCTGGCCCAAAGTGTGGGACCTCAACAGGACCACACACATGCCAACCTTGACTGTATTGTGAGACTGAACACCAAGCATGTAGGATCAGTGCCTAACCTGCTCTTGGGTATGCTTTGGGGTGTGTGTATATGTCACCCATGAGTTTGACCCTTCATGGGCAGTGGGGGAGTTGTCTTAGACAAGGGTACGAACTGTAGGCTCTGGGGTGAGAGGGTGTCATGGGCTGCAGCCCAGCTTTGAGGGTCTAACAGCCTCAATGCAGCACTCCCATGTTGTTGATTTTCCTGTCTGAGCCCCTTTATGGGGACTACAGCACCCCTAATACTGGCCTGGCAGAGGAGGCGTCCAGAAAGGTCCCAGGCTAGGTGAATGTTCCGGGTATGGGCATTTGCACCTGCCTCAAGTGCATGTGTCTGTCTCCAAGGCTTCGTGTGCCATGGTGGGTGTGACTGCCAAGGGCCCTGGGAGCAGGTGACATTCCTTGCTCATGACCCTGTGAGCACAGGACAATGCGTGCTTGTAGCCATTGTGGGCGGAGGGAGGTGTCAGTTGGATGGGCAGCATTGTCTGAGCGGAGGAACAAGATGATCTTGAGGGGGAGAAGGCTGACATGGTGGAGGGCCACAGGCAGGGACTTTCCTTCCTGTCATCTCCTGGAGGCTGTGTAGGCACTGGGGCTGGGATCTGGGGGCCTGGCTTCTGGCCCCACCTCTCCCACTGATTGCCATGCGACCTTGAGTGACCCTCATCCCTTTCTAAGTTTCCACATTTGGGAAGAAGGGGGCCGCCAAAGGGGCCTTTCAGGTCCCTTCTGTCCCTTATTCCAGGAGCTCAGTGAAGGGGGTGGAGGTGGGGCCTGCCTTCTAAGAAACTGGCTCGTCTCTGCAGGCCTGGGAGCGGGGGCCAGATGGTTTTGCTTCTTCCTCCAAGGATGGTGTGTGGCTGGTTCTCTAGACTGTCTTGACCTCAGGTGTAGATGGAGGCTGCGTCGGGCCTTTTTTATATGAAAGGGAGCCTTGCCTCCTAGGGTTGAGAGCTGCCTGGGAGTTTTGGGGGGGGGCCTGGGGAACTGACCTAAAGATGACTCAACTTCAAAAAGTAGCTTCCTGGAGGCCAGGGGAGGGGAGGGTGGAGGAAGGCAGAAGGAGGCCATCCTGATTGCCTAGGACCACATACTGCAGCAGCCTGGGCCCCCCCACTCTCTGCCCCCCCCCCGCCGGATTGCCCAGGGCTGCAGCCTGAGGCTGTGCCCACTGGGAAGGGAAGGGGCAGAGTTATGACTGCTGAAAACCCCAGCATTAAAGGCCAAAGTGGCCGGAAACTTCTGTGTTTATAAAAAGCTCTTATCCCGGGAGCATCTTCCCTGGCACAAGCTGGGGCTGCTGCCTGCCGGCCTGCTGCTCACCTGCCAGTGCAGCTTTTGGGGCAGGTGTGGAGGGGGTGAGCCAAGTCTAGCTGAAATGGGTCCATTGGGGCACCGTTCCTTGATGGGGCCAAACTGTGGCGGCCCTCACATCCCTGGGGAGGTCCCCTTCCTGTGTCTGTCTTCTTACAAGTGTGCCACTGTCTCAGGCCCTCCCCGGGCTCCAGGTATTTCCAGGGTTGGAGTTGCAGGTCCCTTTCCTTGCTCCCTGACCTTGGACATCTGCCCATGGCCCTCAGCTTATTCCTGCACCCTCTGACACAACTGGATTTAAGAGCTGGCTTTGTCATTTACAAGCTGCAAGCTGTGGGCACGGTTCTGAACTTCTTTTGAGCCCGTTTCTTCATCTATAATACGATAATATGAGGATGCCTATCTTATGGGGTTGTCAGTACGTATTACATGAGATAAAGCCTGGCAGGTGCTCACGTGGTACTTTCCTCTTCTTTAGCCCGCCCACCCCTCAGCACCTTACTGCCCTCCCGGAAGTACTGACCCAGCAGGGTCCACAGATACTTGGGGGGGGGTGATTCCCTAGGGATCCCCGGGGTAAGGAGTGCCCAGGGAGCATCCCCGAGTCTAGAGTGTGGATCAGGAAGAGAAGCCTTAGGAGCGGGTGCAAAGGGAAGGCTGGCCGCCATCTCTGGCCCTTCCCAGGCTCCCTCTCCAGGCCCAGTGTTTATCCCTCCGTCGCGGCTGCTGACACGCGTTGCTGACACCCGCCCAGCCTGGCCTCGGCCCCAGGCGCGGAGGGGGCGGCAGGCCGCTGGCAGCCTGCCCGGGGGAAGCCACACAGCCTGCCCACGGGCCCGGCGAGGGAGGGGGCACGCCGCCGGCCGAGGCACCTGTGTCAGGGCATAGCTGCATTCGCCCCCTGCTGGGGACCCCAGTCCCCGCCGTGCTTCCTGGGGCGGGGAGTCCCCAGGCAAGCGGAAGTGTGTGACAAGAGAATGTGGGGAAGGGCTGGGAGCCCCCAAGGTAGGGGACCCTGCTCACGTGCCCGCTCATCCCCACCCCCCAGGCCGCAAGTTCATCATCGCCAACGCTCGGGTGGAGAACTGCGCCGTCATCTACTGCAACGACGGCTTCTGCGAGCTGTGCGGTTACTCGCGGGCCGAGGTGATGCAGCGGCCCTGCACCTGCGACTTCCTGCACGGGCCGCGCACGCAGCGCCGCGCTGCCGCGCAGATCGCGCAGGCCCTGCTAGGCGCCGAAGAGCGCAAAGTGGAGATCGCCTTCTACCGGAAGGATGGTAGGCGGGGCCAGGGGCGGGGCCACAGCGGGGGCGGGGCCGAGGGCGACCGGGTTTGGGGCTGCGGACAGTGGGTAGGGGGCTCCTGGGGAACGGCCGGAGTTTCTTGGCATGACTCCAGCTGGGGCCATTGCAGTGGGCCAGGTGGGAGGCGCCAGCTGAGCGTTGGGGCTGCAAGGCGGTCTGGGTCTCTACCTCACTGTGGTGGGATGGTTTTCAGGGTGGCCAAGGGGGTGCTTGGCTGTGGGTCTGGCACCTCTGGCTCCTTCCTCCGTGGGCAGCTGTGGGCACGTTGAGCTAGGTGGGCTGGAGTTTGAAGGGTCAGGGATGGCAGGTGCGTGGACGGAGGTAATAGGTCAGGCTGGCAGCTGGGCACTGACCTCGGGCCACAGGCCACAAGCTATCCTAGGGCAGCCCCTGCCAGGTGTCTGATCCGGTGAGCTGTCACCGAGGGCTAGGGTGGGGAGGACCGCAGGCAGGACTCTGGCTCACTCTCTGCTGCCCCTCTCCTGTCCCCTTTCTCTTCTGCACTTCAGCTGCACCTGGCATGAGGTGTGTACCTCTCCCCAACCTCAGTTCCCTTTGTCTCATCTGTTGAGTGCCTCACCCTCCATCCTGCGCCAGGTGTCTCCGCTCAGCCACCGCCTCCTAGCCCAGCTGCTCTGGGCTTCCGGAGAGCGGATAAACAGAGCCCTGGCTGGGCTGCTCCCACATCAGCCTGCCCCCTGCCCGGGTGGGATGGGCTCAGCTCAGGGCGTGCAGTGCAGAGGGCTGGGGAGGTGGCTCCAGAAAGTGCCCAGACCTTGCTGCTCATCAGTGTGTATCCGATGAGCATTTGCTGAAGCCAGGGTCTTGCAAAAAGAGCAGCGAACAGGACAGATGAGGTTCCTGCCCACAGGGAGCTTACCTGCTGTAGACAGCATGCTCTGCCTCCCCCTGGGGATAGGCAAAGTGAGCCAGCAACCCCACGGCCCTGGCCTGTCTCTTGGAGACTGCCCTGTAAAGGCTTGTGCTCCCCGATGGCCCGCTTTTTGTAGGGGTGCCGAGCCTGTGACATCACTGGGCAGCATTAGAGGGGGCACTGTCAATGTGGAGGAGGATTTGCTCACAGCACATGGGGGTTCTGGCTAGGACGCAGAGGCTGCGAGACTAGATGGAAACTCTAAAGGCAGGGCCTTCTGTCTGCTTTTCCACCGATGTTTCTCAGAACGTTTATCAAAGCAGATCTGCTTATCTCGCTGCCTGGCCGTCTAGTACTTGCTAACATTGGTGGGTGGTTTCTATGTGCTGGACACTGGGCTAAATGTTCCACTTACATTATCTTGTGGCATCTCCACAACAACCCTGGGAGGTAGATACAATTTTTTTTCTCCATTTATGGATGAGGAAACAAGTTCAGAGAAATTAAGAAACTTTTCCAAAGTCACACAGCTAGTGAGTGGCAGAGCTGGGAATGGAACCGTGTCTGTCTGATCAGAGCCCTACCACTCTGCTCTGCTGTCATATATTAAAAATGACACCAACCACTTACAGGGGTCCCTATAGATGCACGTCACTTTATGTACAATTTTATTTTGAAAGTTGCGAACCATTGGTGTGATGAACAGAACGTGAATACATTGAGTCCTGGGTTCAGGTCTAACACCAGACATTATGTAATATGGGACAAGGTGGTTACTGCCTTGAGCCTGTTTCTACTTCTGGGATAATGTGCCCACTCGTCCCCTTGGCACCAGGGGCCTGAGTGTTTCTGTCTTCGTTGTAGTTTGTGGGGAGCTGGCCCTCACTCCTGCCCAGGCTGGCTCCTCTGGAAGAGGACGGCTACGGGACCCCTTCTGCCGAGGCACTATTATGGAATCTTGGTGACCTTGAGGATCACTTAATCCAGCCCACTCGTGTTACAGATGGAGAAGCTGAGAAGCAGAGGTCCAGTTACCAACGAATCAGTGGAGGGAGTGGGACTAGCACCCAGGCCCCCTGCCCAGGTTCAAGCTCTTTGCCCCCTTCAGGTTACTATTCCAAATAGGGCTGTGACCCAGAAACTCCTGTGCCAGTCATCTCTGCTTGCCCCTTCTCTGCTCTTACCTAGTTTCCAGTGGGATCAGGTATCTTCTGTTGGGCCCTCAGGTCATATGGGTCTCCCATTTGTCCTGGCACTGGAGGCCTAGAATGCAGACAGGTTTCCCCTGCCTCCCCTCCCTCTGCCTTGAGGTGCTCAGTCCCTTGGGAAGATCCCCATGACGTGACCTGGGCTGTGTGTGCATGTGTGCATGAGCTCACACCTTTGTGCCTGGGCAGAGTATGGAGGCAGAGGTGTGGAGTGCCAATGCCATGTCTTGTTTCTGTCCAGGCCTTTCTCAGGGTCTCTGCCTGGGCCAGCCACAGGGGAGTGTGTCCCTGGGCTTCAGCCTCAGGGCAGTGGGTGGCTGGGCAGGAGGCGGGGCCTTTTACTGGCAGGCGCCACTGTGGACAGCTGTGCTGTGTCGGTGCCTCTGGCCTAGCTCTGTGCAGTATCAGGGCCTGGAGCCAGACAGCTCCGTTACTTAGTTGCTGGGACTGCTGGGAGGCCGGGAGGCTGGACTGGGGCGGTATGGGCTGGAGGGAGAGACACGAGGTACCAGGGGCTCATTGGCCTTGTGTCATGCCCCTTAACGTCACACTCAGGAGTAAGGTGGCCTTGGGAGCAGGGCCGGGCAGTGTGGGGCTGGCAGGTGGTAGCATGGCTGCGGGGCTCTGGGGCTGTGCCTGGGCAGCAGGTGTTGCTGGCATCCACCCATATCTTCGCATGGCCGTAGGGGTGGCTGTGGGCTCCTCGGAGCACGGCTCCTCGCTTGTTGCCCTCTTCTGCCATGCCATGTGGAGGTCCCCTCCTCTCTGTGTCTTGTGGTCCCGCTGGCCTTTGTTTCCATCTTTCAGCCTGTCTGCCTGTACCCATGGCCTCTGCTGCCACGGTGCCCTCTCTGCCGACTCTGTCCCCGGAGTCTCTGTCTCCTTCTCTTACATCTGTCTCTATCTCCTTCCTCCCACCAGCCCCCTTGAGCCTTTCTCTCTCCGGCTCTGACTGGCTCCCCATACCTCTTCCTGTCCTGGCTGGGTCTCCATGTCCCTGTGTCCCCTGGAGCCCGTGCGTGGGTGGAGATGGGGGTGTCTCTAGAGAAGAGTCTGTCGGCTTCTCCGTTCCAGCTGCAGGCTGGTTGCCATGGTAACAGGGTCATAGGGCCCCCACTGCAACAGCTGAGCTGTGGGCTGGGGGAGGGGTGGGGACCAGCAGGCCAGCGTGCATCCCTGTGTCCACAATGCCAGTGGGAAGCCAGAACCCCAGAGGAGGCCCCATACCCACGGGCCCCCAGACTCACACCCTAGCTTCCCAGGTGCTTGTGCAGGCACTTCTAGCACCAGTGCACCCTTATGGGCCTCTGGTGACCCTGCATGCACCCCAGGCCATTTCCCCATCTCCTCCCTGTCCTCTGAAATAAGACTCCTGGCTGTGACACTCCCACACCCCTCCTCCAGCATGGCTGACCCCTCCCCAAGCTCAGACACCCACTCATCTCTGTCCTCTCCAGGCCCTCACCCTCAGGCCCTAGACCCGCATCAGTCTGGGTTGCTGGTGAAGCAGCCCCCGGATATATTGAGCTGGGCAGGCATGTCAGACGGAGGCTGGTGTCAAGGAGTGTCCTTGAGATGGGAGCAGCCTGGAATCAACCCCAGAGGATGAGGTTAGACACAGGGAGCATTTTTATTGAGAGGCAAAAGCCATCAGGGGTCTCCCTTCACCTTGGGCCTTGTGCTTAGGGTCTGGGGCTGCATGGAGACAGGGCAGGTAAGAGCACCTGCATGTGGTTAGGAGCTGGGCCCAGGACCCTGCCTCAGCCCCCAGCTCCTCTCCCCACCCAGCACTTTCCCTCCAAGGCTCTAGGGAGGGGTCATTCTGAGCAGGAGCAGGGTGATCTGGTCTGCTTGGGGACTTCCTGTCCCAGCCCCACCTTGGGGGCAAGGCAGGCCTGCCAGGATTGAGGGGTATCAGCCACTCCTGGCCAACTCTGAGGTCTGGAGAGTGTCGGGAGGGCAGCTCCTCCATGTTGTGTCTGCTATAGCCCCCGGAGAGGAGCTATGTAAATATTTGCACATAACCGGCTGGGATGGGAGCAGAGTTTGACGGTGGCCTTGGGCTCTGGGGAGGGGGGATGTGGGCAGCAGGACGTGTGTGTATGTGTGAGACGGGCTGAGACTCAGCCTCTTTTGCTCAGAAGTGGCTTCTAGGGTCGTGTGACTTGAGAGGTTCCAAGAAAGCCCTTTCACGCTTAAACATCTCTCCCGAGGGCGCCTGTAATGCCTCCATTAGAGAACCTTTCGCTTGGGTGGAGAATGAGCTTTTTTTCTTTAAAAACACATTCTCTCTCATCACCCCTCCCCCGTATGCAGGGAGGACGTTGGAAATATCTAGCCCCTTTAGTGGCGGGAGTTTAACAGGAACTTTCCTCCCTGACATGGGATGAGGGCCCTGGGGTCAGGGACAGAGTGGGGAGTGGCGGGACACCTGGGACAGGTGATTATTACGGGAGAGGCTCTGGATGAGCCACGGTCCCCGTAAAGTCCCCTCCTGTCCTTAGTCCAGGGCCCACAAAGATCTCCATGATGTGATTTGTGGTTGACCTCGAATGAACCTGTCCCCGATTTGGTGACATGAAGCGCCCCGAGGGCTAGGCAGTCTTCTCCTTGGCCCACCATCTCCCTTGATCACAGTTCTGGGTGAGGCTGCCATGTCCGAATTCTCCCACTAGAGTGTAAGCGCTGTGAGGACAGACAGCAGCCTGTTTTGTTCTCTGCAGTATCTGTGTCTAGTGTCTAGTGGGAGCTCAGTATATTTTGCTGAATGAATGAAGGAATGAAGGGGTGGACAGTGTGCTGTGGTGCTGAAGCCCTATACTGGGTGTCAGTGACTTGGGAGGGATTTCTGGCTCAGTTTCAGAGTTGCTGTGTTGACTTCGGGCAAATCA